TCAGCTAATTTTTGTATTTTTAGCAGAGATGGGGTTTCACCACGTTGGCCAGGATGGTCTCGATCTCTTGACCTTGTGATCCACCCATCTTGGCCTCTCAAAGTAATGTGAGTAGGCGTGAGCCACACTGCACTGGCCTCTTTCCTATGTTTTTAAGGCAATCATTTTTTTTCAATTTCCCATTGCCAATGTCAGGAAAAAGCAGGTGATAAGCTGCAGAAGCCACATGGATGCAAGTGGGCCTGAGCTAAGAGACGGCCCAGTGAGTGTGCAGTGGGGGAAAAGTTGTGTGACACTGTGTTTCTCAAACAGATACAACTGCCCAGAAAAGCACTTTTGCAAAATGATGAAAACTAATAGTAGGGAACATTTATTTCCCAAGTTGGCTCACAGGTAATTTAGAAATGTTATTACTGCATTTTCTGTGTACAGATTGCCACCAAACGCATAGTTTGAAATAGCTGGTAATCCAAAGTAAATAAAAACAACTCCTATGTGATCAAGGACAGACACCCAAAGTGGAACAATTGCCTTTTATTAATAAAGTACTTGTTCTAAAATATGCAAACTTGATTCAAAGACCTGATTTCCTTAAATTTCAGAACACTGAGGCATGGTCATAAAATAACAAAACACACTACAAAATCCCACAGCTTAAAATCTAGTCTTATTCTGATTAATTTTTGTTGTTGTTTTTGAGACAGAGTCTCACTCTGTTGCCCAGGCTAGAGCGCAGTGACGTGATCTCGGCTCGCCGCAGTCTCTGCCTGGGTGAAAGTGATTCTCGTGTCTCAGCCTTCCAGCTAACTAGGATTACAGGCTTAGCCACCACACCTGGCTAATTGTTGTATTTTCAGTAGAGCTGGGGTTTTGCCATGTTGGCCATACTGGTCTTGAACTCCTGGCCTCAAATGATCCTGCTACCTCAGCCTACCAAAGTGCTGGGATTACAGGCGTGAGCCACTGCCCTGGCCCCTAATTAATTATTTTCACTGTTGAAAAAAAAAAACAAAAAACTCCAATTCTGTTTTTCAATTTTTAGAAACTACATAAAGGTAAACAGAAGTGTGTGTTGAAAATGAAATGAGCTTCTGGAAAGACAAGCTCTCAGCATTTAAATGTATTGAAATAGATGCTTGAAATATTCAACTTTTTATAAGGACATTCAGCACCTGAAACACAGCAACTCTCTCTCAAGTCAGTGGGCAATTTCTTCAAAGTGTACAATATTTGGTTCTTTTTTTTGTTTTTTGAGACGAAGTTTTGCTCTGTCGCCAGGCTAGAGGGCAGTGGTGTGACCTTGGCTCACTGCAACCTCCAACTCCCAGGTTCAAGCAATTCTCCTGCCTCAGCCTCCCAAGTAGCTGGAACTACAGGCACGCGCCACCATTCCCAGTGAATTTTTTCACACTTTTAGTAGAGATGGAGTTTCACCATGTTGGCCAGGGTGGTCTTGATCTCTTGACCTTGTGACCTGCCTGTCTCGGCCTACCAAAATGCTGGGATTACAGGCATGAGCCACCGCACCTGGCCAATATTTGGTTCTTTTATCGGCCTGCTTCTCCACAAGTCCAAGCTGGGCTAGGCAGGATGGCCTTCTTTCTGCCAGTCCGGTCTCAGGGAATGCTTCCTTCTCTGAAGGACCCTGACATAATGGCTACCCTCTCTTTAACATGCCACCTTATGTTCATTTTCTAATTTTTTTTTCTTCTTTGTTCACTGACTTTCTACCAGTTAGACTCTGTCTACGCAACAGTTACACGTGTGGCTGTTTCCACTTCCAACCTCCCGTGAGAGCCCCGAGGCACCAAGCCCAAAGCCTGGCGCACACTGCAGGTCCAATCAATATTTGTTCAATCAAATTCGTGAGATTAAACAGTTTAACACCTTTAACAAATTAAACAGTGTTTAAAAACAGTGCATTGAAGCATGTAGCAATAATTGCTCATTTCCTGTTGAGATAGGAAGGATAACAGTTTATAATGGCAACATTATTTATGCTGAAATACGTATCCGCCCTGGTTAAATCTTAAGCATAAGTTTTAAAATTACTTCAGAGTTGGGTAATTATGACAAAAAAAAAAAAAGTTTAAAATTTCTGATTTAAAGAGAAACAACCAATTGTAGTGTTGTGATCTTGTCATCTTAAATCAAATCTTGTGCAGGCTTTTATAATATACTGTATATTATCTTCACTCCGAGTTGCAGAGGTACATTCTTTAAGGTTTTTAAAGACTGGCTTACTTTCCGAAATAAATGTACAACCACTGGCCACAACCATTGGCCTAACAAGGCTGTTTCCACTTCATATTTCTTCTTCATGCGGCATTTTTTAAATTTAAAATTTACTTTTCTCATGTTTTCACATTTGTTTAATTCTGTGTGGAGGGTAGGGATTCTGCAGCATAGTCTCAAAGGCAGACTACAATACTTAGGAACTTAAATCAATCTCTTCAAGTAGAAGATAGATGACAGATATCTTTATATCTGTGTACGTGTAACTTACACATACTACAGACACATATACATACACACATGTGTGTGCATCTCCATGCAGATATAGGCTGCTTTAGTGCCACTCAGAATTCCACAACATTGAATACACTAAAAAACATTCTTTTTTTTTTTGAGACATAGTCTCATTCTGTCACCCAGACTGGTGTGCAGCGACATGATCTTGGCTCATTGCAACCTCCACCTTCCTGGTTCAAGCAATTCTCCTGCCTTAGCCTACTAAGTAGCTGAGATTACAGGAGTATGCCACCATGCCAGGCTATTTTTTTTATTTTTTATTTTTTTATTAGAGATGGAGTTTCACTATGCTGGCCAGGCTGGTCTTGAATTCTTGACCTCAGGTGATCCACCTCCCTCTGCCTCCCAAAATGCTGGGATTAAGTCGTGAGCCATCATGCCTGGCCTGAATATACTATGAAAAGTTTCTTCCAAAAGATAGTTATATACAGAAAAAGCCAGGCATCAGTGTCATCTCTCATTATGAAAAATAAAGTTTCACTACAATGAAGTGCTTACATAAGATAATCTATTTATTTACTTATTTTTATTTTTTTGAGACAGAGCCTCGCTCTGTCACCCAGGCTGGAGTACAGTGGCACATTCTCAGCTCACTGCAACCTCCACCTCCCAGGTTCACATGATTCTCTTGCCTCAGCCTCCTGAGTAGCTGGGATTACAGGTGCATGCCACTGCGCCTAGCTAATTTTTTTTTATTGGAGATGGGGTTTCAACATACTGGTCAGACTGGTCTCAAACTCCTGACCTTGTAATCTGCTCGCCTCAGCCTCCCAACGTGCTGGGATTACAAGAGTGAGCCACTGTGCCTGGCTGATAACCATATTTATAGTGATATATCAGAAAATCTAAAGAGGAATAACAGGGATAGAAATTAATAATTTGTGGAGATTTTTAAAGTACCAGAGATTAGTTAATGGAAAAGAAAATATTTTTTAAAACTCTGAGAGGTTAAGTAAAATACTCACAGTATTCTTCTGGCAAATGATTTCCTGAAAAACAAGAAAAAAAATATAGCACAAGTTAATACAAAACTCAGTAATTTTACAACATTTATTAAAACTATGTGGGAAAATTTGTATTAACAATGATAGCAATTAGAAATTTCAGAAGTATAGATTCAGTTTCTACATCTGAAAAGTTTACTATCAATCAATCAATCAATCTATCTATTTTAGAGATAGGGGCTGGCTCTGTTGCCCAGGTTGGAGTACAATGTCACAATCATAGCTCACTACAGCCAGGAGCTACTGAGCTCAAGTGATCCTCCCACCTCAGCCTCCCAAGCAGCTAGGACTACAGGGCTACAGGTGCATGCCAGCACAGCCAGCTTATTTTAGTATTTTTCTTTTTGTAGAGACAAGATCTTGCTATGTTGCTCAGACTGGTCTCAAACTCCTGGCCTCAAGCAATTCTTCCACTTTGGCCTCTCAAAATGCTGGGATTATAGGTATGAGCCACCATGCCTGGCCCAAAAAGTTTACAATCTATGGAGGAGACAGGAGAACACAAAAGTGTTGTCCATGGTTTAAAAAACAAACAAACAAAAAACCCAGCACAAACATGGAAAATCCCCAAACTGAATAACCTAGAAATAATTACTGCAGATTAACTGATCAGTCACAATCTCTTTAGGAGGAGGTTAAAGCTAGTTTGCTTTCCCTAAGCACAATCTCCCTCACACTCTGGGAGGGAAAAAGCAGCGTGTTACATCCTGAGCAGCTAAAAATAAAGGGTATTGGCCACCAGCAAATCCACACACAGATACTCAGAACATCTGACAAAAAATCATCATAAAAATAATTTGCATATATTTTATTAAGAAGCAGAATGGGATAAGTGGTTGGGCATGGTGGATCATGCCTGTAATCGTAGCACTTTGGGAGGTGGAGGGAGGTGGACCACCTGAGGTCAGGAGTTCAAGATCAGCCTGGCCAACATGGTAAAACCCCGTCTCTATTCAAATACCAAAATTAGCCAGGCATGGTGGTACATGACTGTAATCCCAGCTACCCGAGAGGCTGAGTGAGGAGAATCACTTGAACCTGGGAAGTGGAGGCTGCAGTGAGCCAAGATGGGGCCAGTGCACTCCTACCTAGGTGATAGAGTGAGATTCCATCTCAAAAAAAAAAAAAAAAGGGGGGGGATAAGTACACAGTGTGTGCAGTGTGCCTATCTTCTAGGTTGTAAAGAGTGAGTGAGGTCATACAAATAACATAGCTGTACAGTATCTGACACATAAAAGTTCTCAATATAAGCCAGCTATCAGTACTGCTATTCCTAGACCTTACCATGACTACAGACACTGGAGAGACAATCTAGAAAAGCCTGTCATATCAAGGCTTCACTGAGGTTGGGGAATCATGATTTAGAAAAGGGAAAAGGGAATAGCATATTGGAAAGGATGGTATGAATGTTGCCATGGAAACAAATAATAAGGCATTTGTGGAGCCTCAAGGGCGAGTCCATCTGGCTGAGGTGAGGAGCCAGATCTGGGAGGAAGAGTGTGGCCAGGCGAGGCCTGGCTGAGTGGCCATCAATGTCAGCCCAGGACCAGGTGCTGAATCCACATGGAGCAAAGAAGGACCAATGAGGGCTTTCATGTAGAGGAGCATGTAAGATTTTTGAATGTTTAAGGATAGCAGATGAGAAAACAAAAATTGGCAGAGGAAGGAATTGCACTGGGTAGTTCTAAAAGCCATGAAGGTGTATGCAAAATACTAAAATGTCTGGTGCCGTGGCTCACACCTGTAAATCTTAGCACTTTGAGAAGCTAAGGCCGGAGGATCACTTGAGTTTGAGGCCAGCCCAGGCAACATGGTGAGACTTCGTCTCTAGAAAAAAATTTTAAAATTAGCTGGGGGTAGTGGCACACACCTGGAGACCCAGCTGCTTGGGAGGCTGGGACAGGAGGATCACCTGAGCCCCAAAGATCAAGCTCTTAGTGAGCTACGACTGTACCACTGTGATCTTGACTCAAAAAAAAAAAAAAAAAAAAAAGACTAAACGACATTCTTCAATATCTGACAACCTTGCTGATAAAAAAGGACATGTGCATATTTAACATTTATGTAAGTCTGGATGGACACGCGTGTATATGCACACCTGCTAAAGGTAAAAAGAATGATACAGACAGCAAGGGCTATGGTTTAACAGAGAAAGATGTTCCTGTAGATTGAGAAAGTCTGGGAAGGTCAGCAGAGAAGACAGAACTCAAGCTGAGCTGTAAAGGACAGACGCGACCCCCAAAGGCAAAGCCCACCTCCAGGCGGGAGACCTCGATAAAGCAAAGGCCCATTACAGAAACAATAAATATTATCACAGGGAGTTAAAGAAGACAGTTCATTTGGGGACCTATGAAGGGCAAATTAAAGAGGTATTTGGGGAAGAAAAAACAAAACCTTGAATGTAGTCATTTGGCTAAAGCAGAAAGTTCATTTTGACACATACAAATAGATTAGAAAGTTATTTGGGGACTTATTGAAGAAGGCTTTGACTGCTACAATAAGCTGCTCTGTGAGCACCTGGCAGTCAATGTGTTTTTAAGGTGAGTGATATGTTCAAAGAACTATTAGCACATATTGGGGCACTGTTTGTAATAGCAAAGGCTGAGAACAACGTAAATGGCCATCACCTAAAACCTGGTTGAATAAACTCTAGTACCTCCATACGCTGTAATACGTTACACTCAAACAATGAAGAACTTCTTTTTGAAGTGAAAGAAAAAGATCTCCCAGATCTCCTAAGTAAAAAAAGCAAAGTAGAAAATAGTTTTTATCCTATGCTCGTTTTATGTAAAAAATGAAATTCAAATTTGTAAATTCATAAAATCTTTCTGGTAGAATGTCTAAGAAACTAATATCAGTGGTTGCCAGTGGAGTCGGTTGGCTGACTACAGGATAAAGGTGAAAGAATACATTTTCACAATGTATCCTTTTGTACTTTTAAATGTTTGCAGCAGGTGAATGTATTACCTTACAAGGACAAAAAAATAAAAGGTAAACCTTGTTAAAGTTTTACACAGACTAATTTGATGATAGTACTTAGTGTTAATTATTATTATTTTTTGAGACAGGATCTCACTTTGTTACCAGGCTAGAGTGCAGTGGCGTGATCACAGCTCACTGCAGCCTCAGCTTCTCAGGCTCCAGCAATCCTCCCACCTCACATACAAACAAAGTAGCTGGGACCACAGGTGCATGCCACCACACCTGGCTAATTTTTGTATTTTTGGTAGAGACAGGGTTTCCCAGGCTGGTTTCTAACTCCTGGGCTCAAGCAATCCGCCTGCCTTGGCCTCCAAAGATCCACCTGCCTTGGCCTCCCAAAGAGCTAGGATTACAGGTATGAGTCACCATGCCTAGCCAGTACTTGGTATTTGAGGGGGAAAAGAATTTAGGTGGCTACTGCAAAAGTCCAGAGATATCATAATAAGTGCTTGGTCAATTAGGGAGCCTCAGGAACGGAGATCAAGGGACAGATGAGCGGCATTGTGGAGGAAGGCTGAAAGTGGCTTTCCCTGCAGGGGTTTCCAAGAGTTAATACTGCACACACACACACCAATGGTCCATGAACAAAGAAGTTGAAAAATGCTGAATAATCACAAAGCTAGCAACATGGATGCAGAATTTTTCAAACTTGATTTATGGAGCATCTCTCCAGAGTAGCAAACCATACCCTTGCAAATACTGCTCTTGCTTGATAGACTATCAAGCGAGATATTCTACCTCTTCCCCTCTAAGTTACTCTCTCTTCCCCTCTAAGTAACAAGGAAATGCCCTCTGTGTAGCATCCTCTGTGCAATGCATAAGAAACCTGTCCTCCATGAAGCCGGCCTTCACTGTGTTCTGTGACATCTATCTTCCCCACAGTAGATTCTGTCTTTATCTGTGCTTTTATTAACCCTCACACAGACCTCCTTGACAGCACTTCATTTACTACATTGCACATTTTTGTTCCTACAATTCTCTTGCCCGACATCATGACTTCCTGGGGTGCAAAGACCAAGTATTTTATTCCCATTTGTATCCCGACTGATTGTCTAGCAAATGTCATGGCATATAGCAGATACTACAAAAGCATGAATAAATAAATTAATGAATGTATTAAATACCGGACTATGAATTAGGAGTAGATATGTCTAAGACATGGCTCTGTTCTCAGCAAGCCATGCATCATTTACACTTCTCTATCATGTGACACTAAGATTGTTGGACTAAGCAACTGCTAATCTCTTCCAAAGCTGTGTTCATCATTTGCTTTTGCCTAAAGGGTTCTCATAGTCAGTGTTGTCCTTGTGCTGCTAGAGAGACACCCTGATGCTCCCCCAGCATAGGAGATACTCTACCCTTGACTCTGTTTTGATGCACCAGGCACAGAAATGGAAGTGGCAGGGAAAGGAGCAGTGGTGAGTACTGAGTGAGCAGAAGGCTCCACAGAAAAGCAAATGGCTACTACTGGCTTAGTGCCAATATGCTATGTCTTCCTTACGAATTGCTCATTGGAATAATAAGCCTCTTATATGTCTCCTCTGCCTTCATTTCAGATTATGCATATATTATAATGCATGCATTTCAGATTATGCTTGCAGATTGTGCATGCAAATTATAAAACTCTATTAAAATCATTTCTGAGGCAGACGGTGGTGTGCACTTGTAATCCCAGCTACTCAGGAGGCTGAGGCAGAAGAGTTGCTTGAGCCCAGGAGTTCGAGGCTGCAGTGAGCTCTGATCGCACCACTGCACTCCAGCCTGGGTGACAAGAGAGACCCACCTCCTAAAATGAAAAAGAAAAGCCAGGCGTGATGGCTCACACCTGTAGACCCAGCACTTTGGGAGGCTGAGGTGGATGGATCGCCTGAGGTCAGGAGTTC